CATCCGTGGGATTCGAACTCTAGACCTGCCACTTGGGGGTGCAGCAACCCCACCACTTCACTAGGTCGCCACACCCTAGAATATGTTTTTTTTTTATAAATTTTAAGCAAATATTTTTGTATTAATACTTGTAGCATATATTTGTATAAAGCAATTATAATGATTTATTGTAAATTTACTTGTTATTATAATTATATATACAATATAGTACATTTTAATACAGTAATACTGATAGTATACTGATTATATATAATATTTTAATACAATAATATTAATAGTATAATGATTATATATAATATTTCAATATAATAATACTAATCATATGTAATTTTTTAAAAAATAAATGCAAGTATAAATATATTTTTTTTGTTTTTTTTTTAGTTAATTAACTATTAAAATGTCTTCTACTAATCATAAAAACAACAAATATTTGTGCAAATATAACTATTGATTAGAAAAAAATAAAGATAGTTGTTGGTTGATAAAAGTGACATTCAATTTTCATTTACGGTGGCAATGACATTTTCAATAGATTAATACAAGAATTAATGAAAATATTAGTCTAAATTTATTAAATAATAATGAGAATAATAAGTATATAATTAATTCATTTATTATTTAATTTAATTATTTAATTTTGAATTAATTTAATTTTTTTAACAATTTAAGTAATTTTAAAAATAATTTTAATATAACTAATGAAGCTGAATACTTGCAATCTGAATCTAATGATCTTGAATTATTATTATCTAATAATGAATCTGAATCACCTTACCTTAATAATGAAACTGAAACATTATCTTCTGATATTGAATCAGATTCAGAATTAGAAGAAATACTTGAAAATGATAATGAATCTGAATCTGAATTACCTTATCTTAATAATAAGCCTAAATTATTATTATCTGATATCAAATTAAATTCAAAATTAGAAGAAGTACTTGAAAATGATAATGATTTTATAGAATATTTTTTAAATAATTCTGGTAACATTTAATAATACTATTTAAATACTAATATTTAATACTAATATTTAAATACTAATATTTAAATACTAATATTTAATTAATTATTATTACTATTTATATTTATTATTAAATTATACAGAAGCAGAAACAGAAGAATTAAATGATTCGATAAAGAAAGCTCTTAAATTGCTTGAGCTTAAAGCACAAAAAGGAACTTTAACAAATCAAATGTATTAAGAAATATTAAAAATTTTTAATTGTAAAAATATAATATTATTTTCTACAAAAAAGTTTTAGCAAATATGGCTACTTTGATAGCAACATTTATTGATATGTGTGTAGATTCATGTTGCGCATTTACTGGACAATATAAATAGTAGGGTTCTGCAATTCGATTTGATTTGATTTGATTTGATCAAATATTTGATCTCAAATCAAATTCAAATACAGAAAT